GCTGCTGCTTCAGATCACGTCTCGGATTGCTCTTCTTCTGCTCGCCGGACCCGCCAAGCGGGTGCGCACGCGTTGTCGCCCTCCCAGTTCTCATCGGTCCTGACCTCGTCTCGCTCGATTCTCGCAGCACACGATGCCCAAGGACTACCTGACGAGCCTTCCGCCCAAACTGTTCGACTACATCTGCCAGCTCGTCATTGACGACAGGCCGCAGCAATACCTCGGCGGCATCTCGAAGGCGTTCCTTCCCTCAGCGCGCGAACGGACTTTCAGGAGTGTCTCTGCCGAAACCGAGCCGGCAGCCACGAAGCTGTTCGAGGCTCTCGCGGCCAGCCCTGGCGCAGCATCGCATGTCAACTACCTCACACTCCGTCTCCCCGAAACCGCCTTCTCTTCCAAAGCCTTTGCGCCGACAGTCCGCGCAGCGATCCGGCACCTTCGCAAACTAGGCATTCTGGAGGTCTCGGGTGCATACGAGCTCTCAAAGAGGTTGTTGTCCCCGACGTCGCCTTCGACGCTGCCCGAGCTCTTTTGGCTCAAGATCTGCAGCACCCTGAAGGGCTGGAGGTCGCCTTTCTCGCCAGAACACTACCGCACTCTCAAACACTACGGTCGACTGTATCGGCTGGATTTGTCCATCCAGCGAAGCAAGATTTGGCGCATCGGTTGGTCGCCGCGAGGAGCCGAACCGATCTCGATGCCTTCGACCTTCCGCCAGCTTAAGCTTGGAGGTGGAGCAGTCGAAACTTCTAAAGCTGATGTGTTGGCGAACGCCTTCACTCCCTCGGTACTCCAACTCGAGGGAGGTCGGGGCAGTGACGCTCCGATATCTCCTCGCCTTCATCGTCTGCCATGCAGCGTCGCCGAGCTGAGTCTCCAGCGGTATTCCCCGCTGCTTGAAGACCTCAGTGCAGTTCTGCCGAACCTTCGACAAGTCAAGGAATTGTCCCTGTACGGCAGCTTTGACTGCTCGACCATCTTGCCCCTCCTCGCTCGCGAGCTACCATACCTTGCCTACCTCGGACTGGAGGCGAATGAGTCCTTTACGGCGCAGCACCTAGTTGACATCCTTCAGGGGCCGCAAAAGATCCTCACGCTCCGATTCCTCTTCTTGGCGGGTCCGTTCGCCAGACGTTCTGTGCACGTCTCCCTCGAGCCGGAGGAGCTCATTGAAGTCGTCGAGCTGGCGGACCGAGAGGACGTTCGGATCGCAGGCAGTCGCTTCTGGGCGGCGGTCAGGGAGCAGGGACGGCGAGAGGGTTACTTGGCGGCTAAGGAGGAACTGCGACGGGAAGACGCGAGACGTGCGGCTGCATCGGCGGCAGAGTGGTGAAGGAAG